CTCTCTCTTCTCTTCTCTCTCTCTCTCTCTCTCTCTCTCTCTCTCCTCTCTCCCTCCTCTCCTTCTCCTTCTCTCCCTCCCTCTCTCCTCCTCTCCTCCCTCTCTCTCTCCCCCTCCTCTCCCTCTCTCTCCCTCCTCTCTCTCTTTCTCTCTCTCTCTCTCTCTCTCTCTCTCTCTCTCTCTCTCTTCTCTCGTCTCTTCTCTCTCTCTCTCTCTCTCTCTCTCTCTCTCTCTCTCTCTCTCTCTCTCTCTCTCACCATCATCATCATCATAAATCGTTATTGGTAACATTATTATCATCATTATTATTATAGTATGTTATTATCATTATTATCATGTTATTAATTCATTGTTATCAGTATCATCATTATCATTATAATTGTTATTAGCCTTTCTATTCAAAGACTGAAGAGGATTTTTCGCTAAAGAGCTTTTTGGATTTCTACTTTGCAATAACGTTCCCTAACATGAGAGATGTATAATAATCACAATTATTCTTTTCTGTATTTATAATTTAACAATGTTTTCTGTTACTTTGTATATTAATCTATAATTCGCAGAAGCTTTTGAGTGATCTAGATAACAGACATAATACTTTGCTATTGAGGAACTTTTATGCAATATGTGTTTGCGATATTTTCTTAATTAGCAAACTTTACTCCGAGAATTGATGTTTAACAAGAAACGTTCTGAGTGAGAGAGGAAAGGGGACGGAGAGAGAGAGAGAGAGAGACTGAAGAGAGAGAGAGAGAGGAGAGAGAGAGAGAGAGACAGAGAGAGAGAGAGAGAGAGAGAGAGAGATGAGGCGAAGAGAGAGAGGGGGGAGGGGAGAGAGAGGAGAAGAGAAGACAAGATAAAGAGATTGACGAAGCGAAGAGAGAGAAGAAAAAAAGAATGATAACGAGTAAGCGAAGAGGGAGAGAGAGAAGAGAAGATAAAGAGAGAAGAGAAAAGAAAAAGGAGAACGAGAAGCGAAGAGGGAGAGAAAGAAGAAAAAGAGAAAGAGAGAGAGGAAGCGAAGAACGAGAGAGAGGAGGGAGATGGGGGGGGAGGAGTCTGATTACGTGGAGTCGAAACACAAGCAGGTTGATTAGACTTTGGGTGCAAGATAAGACGATAGTTGATCTGCTGATGGAAGCTTTCGGCAAAATCATAAAGTTCGTCATCAAAAGAGAAGGAAATTAGCATATTCGTCCAGAAACACGAATGGATGTGAAAGAAGATAAGCCAGCCAGAACGTGTTTGTGCGGAGTAGATGAATGAGAGAGAGAGAGAAAGAGAGAAAAAAAAAAAACAGATTCGGAACATTTTAAAAATTACCATCAAAACGTAAACTTTTTTTCTTTTTTTTTTCTTTTTGTCCCGAGAAGAAGAGAAGAGCAAAGACCCGATAGAGAAGTTTATGTTTATAAACCTCTCTTTCCCCTTCCCCTCTCTCTCTCTCTCACTCGGAACCCTTGTTAAACGTTAATTCTTTGACGTACAGTTTGCTAGTTAAGAAAACATTACTGCAAATACATTATTGCATAAACGTTTCTCAATATCAAAATATTATGTCTTATCTAAACCACTCAAAAGGTTCTGCGAGTTGTAGAAGAAAAAAAATGTATAAGGTAACAGTAAAATCTATTGAATTAAGAATGCAGAAAAGAATAATTATGATTGCCAAGAGAGAGAAAAAAGGTGGACCCAAGTTTCCCTCCGGTTTGAATCGCTGGGACCTCGGGGCAGAAACAGCGCTGCTAGGTCGTCTCTCTGGCCCTCGTGACTGGCACTGTAACCCCGTGAATTTTCTACTGTTGAGGAAGAAAGGGAGAGGGATAGATAGGTCGATAGATGGATAGACGGAAAGAGGGGAGGGAGGGATGGAAGGAGTGCGGGAGCGAGGGAGGGATTGAGAGAGAGAGAGAGGGGGGGGGAGAGAAGAGAGAGAGACAGAGACAGACAGACAGACAGACATACAGAGACAGACAGAGACAGACAGAGAGAGACAGCATGCATTTTTAGACTTTGTCAAAGTGGTATAACCCTCAAGATATACTCACATAAGCAAATTTATATCTATCACAGAAATTAGCATACCCAGTAGGTAGGAAACTTGATCATGTTCACCATACTCAGCGGAGGCAGTTAAAAGGCAGGTTTGGGAGGTTGAGCGAAGGGTCCTCTTTAAACATACCTCTTCTTGCATTGTTTATGTGTCATGGCAGTATCAGAGCTCTCCATCTCTCACACTTTGTCCCTCTCTTCCCTCGGCCACCCTGCTGACCTCGTACACACTGCTGACCTGCCTGATCTACTGGCCTCGTCTACCCTGCTGCCCCGCTGGCCTCGTCTGCCCTGCTGGCTTCATCCACCTTGCTGACCTCGTATACTGCTGACCTGCCTGATCTACTGGCCTCGTCCACCCTGCTGACCTGCTGGTTTCGTCCGCCCTGCTGACCTGCTGGTTTCGTCCACCCTGCTGACCTGCTGGTTTCGTCCACCCTTGCTCCGTTTC